AGGTAATCTTGTCAAGGTCAAGGATTTTGTTTCGCTCACTGCTGTGCATCTCTATTGTCTGAAATCATCCTCGGTCCATAATCGAGGCTCAAAAATTACTTGTAGAAAGAAAGGATAAGTGAGCTCATGGTTGAGTAAGTGATTCACTTAATATTTGGGCAGGGCTATTTCTTTTTCTAGTGGAGCCTGCTTTTTAGCTACTTCCTGACTTCAATCTCTGGTATATATCTTTATCTTAACTAAACTGTCCTTGTAGGAGTTGTTCTCTCTGTGCATTCAGTATTTGAGCTATTAGCATTCCACTTGTCAGGCAGGGGCTTGGGCTTTCAGAGTGGCTGACGGTATGCTCTCTCACTACTAGTGGTGACATCAGAGTTGTTTTTGCACTCTTTTGTTTTTACACTTTTTACACGTGTTTTTACACGAATAGAGGGCAGGTTTGCTTAACATTTAGAGTGACCAGGGATCAGTGTGGAGATTTTGATTTTTAGGTGTCAAAAAAATATTCTACTTTAAAAAGTTGTCTTCTGAACCTTTTAGTGGGAATTTGAATTTTCACAATGAGAAATACCTTCGCTTATGCTTTCTCTTTTAACTTGACATTACAGTCATGTGCCCCAACAATGTTTCTAACAATGGACCACATATACAATGGTCCCATAAGATTTTCGTTCTGTAAGATTTGAATACTTTCTTTTTAATGTACCTTGCTAATGTTTAGACATGCTTAGATACATAAATACTTACCATTGTGTAACAATTGTCTAAAATCTTCAGTGCAGTAACATTTTGTACAGATTTGTAGTTCTAGTAGCAATAGGCTATACCATATAGCTTAAGGGTGTCGTAGGCTATACCATCTAGGTTTGTGTAAGTACACCATATGATGTTCAGACAATGATGAAATTGACTAACGATATTTCTTAGAATGTATTGCAGTCGTTAAGCGAGGAATGACTGTGTTTCCTGAAAGTGCTAAAATTTGACCTTACATAGCCACAGTGCTCTAATTATAAAATGATTGACTATAAAATATTCTCAAATGGTATTTGTGTTTGAGATTGGAAAAAATTATTTTGGTGGTGTGAAATATTATTGGTCAGTTGTTCCTGACAATATCATTATCACCAACAAAGTATATATTTTTGTTTCAGTTAAGAACACAATTCCTCAGACCAAGACCAACATTTACTTGTTCTTGTAGTAGCTAGATAGGTAGATACCTATTGCCTAGTGAAACTGCTTTCTGAACTACTTGATTGATTTTCGTGGGTTTGCCATTCACTGTTTTTATCTACCAGGGTGTCATTTTATTATGAAGATAAACTTTAGAGTCAAATAAACTTTGCTTTGAATCCTACTCTTTCACTTACTTAAGTGAGCTTGTGAGAGTTACTGTTTATGACAGTTCTCTCAAAAGGAGCAACAATATTTTTCTTCCAGGGTTTTTGAGAGGATTAAATGAGGTAATGCACCTAAATTCATTCATGCAGTGCCTGGCATAGAGTAAGCAGGAACTAAATATAAACTGTTATTTTTACTACTTGGGTATTCTGCCATGGTGCCCTAGGAGCTCAAATAAATTAATGCCTTGTTTATTCCATTTAGCCAGACCCTTTGAAAAAAGCAAATTGACTCTGTACACATTGGTAAGAGGCTATGAGAATTAGTTTATTTCTTTCGTTCCACTACTTGAGGAATTTCCACAACCAGTTCCAAAGTACTGCTGACCTGTAAGAGGTAGGACTCTGGCCTTTCCGACTTCCCACGTTTCCCTCCTAAGTGGGAATACAAAATGAGGATGTGTTGAAAGGCATCAGAGTTGGGAGATATGAGGTTAAAAATACCTGGTCTTTAACATGGACTTAGCCATTAAAGAGAGTGTCCCAGTCATCGAGATGCCAAGTTTTCCTGAGGCTGGAGGACTATCGCTGTAACAACTTCTAAAGGAGAAAGGGAGTAGCGTTTAGCTGAGCAGACTCCTTTGATTTGTTATTCTGTCAGATCCTAGTGACACTTTCTCAGGTTGGTGCAACTCAGAATGTTCAGTTTTCATGACTTCCGGGTGATTTGTGACTAAACATAGATAGGGCTTAAAAAAAAATAAAAAGAATGAGCAAAGACTATGAAAAGACCCATATTTTAAAACAGGAATATAGAAGTCCTTTATTGGTGTGCTTTTTTCCCTCTGCCTCTTGCTGGGTTGGTATTTTCTCTGAGGTGGTAAACCATAGCAATATTGATGAATGTCTTCTATTTCTTTAAAGAATTTGTCATTTGCCAGTGAATGGAAGTTGGGTGTTTTGGGCTAATGAGATACCAACAGGGTTTTTATTACTTTATGTGAAACTATAGTCATTAAACTTTTCCTTTCATTTTTCTCCATATTGACTTTCAAAATTCCTTCATTCCTAATTCTTGTCGGGTTATGATAAATTAATTGTAAAAGCAGTTTATACAGCATGGCCCATTCCTTTCAAACAAGTAAATAAATTGTTGTGCCCAGTTATATTTTAAACTTTGTTTCTTTTATGCTCTTTGATGAACTTTGGTTGCGGGAACTTAGACCATGGCAATCCTGAATCTCTAATATTAGGATTTTGATGAAATCAACAAAACCCTCATAAATAAAATGTTAAGTGTGTGTGTGTGTGTGTGTGTGTGTGTGTGTGTGTGTGTGTGTGTGTGTGCGCGCGCGCGCGCACGCTTGTATGTTCTGCATCAGCAATGGGCAAAGGGTATGTATAGAGGTACATAAGAAGAAAGGGAATGAACATCTATTATATACCAAGTTCAATGTTTGCTTTTTATTACCTCTATTTTACAAGTGGGAAAAGAGAACTGGGCGAAAGTCACATAACTAGAAAGTGGCAAGGCTCTGATTCAAACCAGATCAGTTTGACTCTAACACATTTCTATCGTCTGCACCACACTGCCCTCTTTTTGCCTGTCTTATCTGCTGACTATATCAAGCAATCTCTGTATCAGCTGCTGTATCTGACCCCTTCCTTAATGGCTAGAAAGCTCCATTTTAGGGACTCCTTATAGGAAGAAAATTTGAAATGAGAACTTGGTATTCATCTATTGTGATATACCCCACCTCATCTTATTTTGCCATAGAGTACAGAGCTACCTGTACCCTGAGGCTGAGAAACCTGCAAAACAAGCCTTCTGCAGAAATCTCCATAGAGGATAGGGTTGAGAACTCTGTGTGAGGAGAAAGGGTTTTGGAGCCTCAACTCCAGAAAATAATTGTCTCTGGGGAGAACTGAATTTCTCTCCATCTCTCCTGCCCAGGAATTAGAAATGTATTATTATCTATAGTCTTCTGGTATGAGTAGACCTGAACTCTGCACTCCTAACTCCTGCCTGGCCTGCTGACTAATCTTTAAGCTTGGGAAAACATCATGTGAAAATTAAATAGTGAGGCTGAGGGAGAAAAACTGTTACAACAAACCCCAAAGGACTGTCTCAATCCTTTTTCTATGATGGGCTTTTCACAAGGCTAATGATTCTCAGCTGATTCTTAGCTTTCAAGCTTTTTAGAATGATGACATTCGTTGTGAGGAATTTGATCACTATTAGGTTTCTTAGAGATTTGCTTTCTTATTTTGGCATCTGTTACTTGATTTCAATTTTACTTTAGTCTTTGTTAAGGCCGGAGTCTTGGAGACATATGATTCTTTTCTTTCTTTTTTTTTTTTTTTTTGAGTTGGTCTCACTCTGTCGCCCAGACTGGAGTGCAGTGGCCCCTCCCGGCCACCGCAGACTAGACCTGCTGGGCTCTGGCGATCCTTCCGCCTCAGCCTTCCGAGTAGCCGGAATTACAGGCATGCGCTACCACGCCCAGCTGATTTTTTGATTTATTGTAGAGATGAGGTCTTGCTACCCAGGTGGGTCTCGAACCCGCGGGCTCAGGCAATCCACTCACCTCAGCCTCCCAAAGGCGCGGGATTACAGGCTGAGCCACCAAGCTCGACTCCATATGATTATTTTCATTGCAGTTTTTTCCCCCCTCTTTTTCTTTCAAGCCATCAGAAAGCTGAGAAAATTCTCTTTAAATATGAAATGGGACAGCAGATATGAGATTCTTCTTAGGTTTTGTTTTCTCTTCCAGAAGTTAATGAGTCTCTTGGTATTTATGTGAATGCTATAGGGTTGTATTAATACTGTGGGCTTAAGGAATGCTGCAATATAATCCACAAAAGGAAATTCTGTCTGAAATAATTCTCTAGGTATGAATGCATTGATGCGCACTGTTTTGTTTTCTGTAACTTGTATGCAAGCTCCATTATGTTTTCTTCCCTTACTTGTATATGTTTCTGTGTGTGTATTTGAGTATTTCTTAGCCAGTTATAAATCTGGGAGATATATTACTAAGTCTGCTTAAATAACAGCATGACTGCATATGTAAAAAAGAAATTATTAATCGATATAGTGGCATTGTGTTAACTCATTTGTATTACCTATACTTTTTATCCCAATGGAGGAGTCAAATTGGGTGAAAACAGTGTCCTATATCAAGAAGATTGAAAAGTTGGAGGTCATCTCTGTCTATGTAAAATAATATATTTACAACTTCATACATTCAAACAGTGTCCTACTAATTAAAAAAGAAAGGGTAGCTTTCGTGCAGTTGTCTGGAAGTTTGTGAAGTGAAAGCCCATGACAAATCAGCTGCCATGAATTAGACTCCTTGAGTTTCCAATTACTTCCTCTATTCCTTCACTATATTCCAGCTTCATAGCTGGGAAATACCTACAGCTTATCCTCATTATCACCCTTCAGTCTGGTCATCATGTGCTATCTATTACCATGATGGGCTGCTGGGGTTTTGCCTAGGAAATAAAAGCCAGTAATTCAAAGTCATCGGGCTTCTTTATTCATGGGCAAAGATTTGGCTCTAGAAAGAGAGATTATGCAACTTGATGCCATGACTTTAAAGCTGATGTTTTTCTTACTTCTTCCTCTTCTTCTTTTAAATGTATCAAAACAAACAGGTATTCCTGGAGAACCTCTGAGTGGAAAGAATGCCAAGTTTCTCTCCTCCTGGAGCAGCAGGACCCCCATTGGCATATGACAGGACCCGTCTGCGGCGGGGGGATCCAGACCCGGGAGGTATACTGCGCCCAGAGCATGCCAATGGCTGCCACATCGAGGGCCAAGGAAGGTAGGCGGCCAGGTCTGAGACAGATGGCTCTGCTGGTTGGAAGGAAAATGAAGTCCAATTTTTCTATTATTCTTTTGGTTATAGATACTTTGCATTCACAAAGATAACATTTATTTTGTTGACCGTTTGCAAACCACCCCTAAATGCTTCTCCTTGCAGATCTTTGGAATAGTTAATAATAATAACAACAACAACAACAACAACATCTGTCTCCAGAGGGTAATTGTGAAAGTTAAAAGAGAAAATGTGCCTAAGGTATTGTAGCACAAGAAGCTAAGGGTCTGGCATGCTAGAGAGAGTCAGTAATGAATGAATAGCATTTTTTTTTTCCCTCAAAGATTTTGTGTGTGTGTGAATTTGTGAGTGTGGGAATTTATACAGACATATTCCTTTCAAAGATCCATTGCTTTACTGCTAAATTTTAATTTCTCTGAAGAAGAAGAAGAGGAGGAGAAGGAGGAAAAGGCAGTAGCTTCCTCCATGTTAAGGTCTCTAGTAGGCAGGTGTGGCCTCAGCAATAGTTTGTTTCAGAGTTTGGAATAGTGAGAACAAATAGAGACTGTGAAACCTGCTCAGGTTTATGTAAGTCAATTGATTGAAAACTCAAGAGTGGACAATGATGCTTCCACTCGGGAATAGCTAGTGGCCTATTTCAGCCACCCTGGGGAACACAAGCAATACCCCCTGCAGAAGTGGTAAAGGTGGGAATGTTTCCTTGGGCTTGCCAAGTGTGAGTACATATTTCCACTATAGACTTTTATTGGGAAGGCAAGATGCAAGTTTTCTTGCTATGGAAATGACCCTAGCCACAGGTAATGCACCTTATGGGATAATCTTTACAGACTTGTTAGCATTTTGCTTCAACAATTTATGATAAAGGTCACATTCACAGGGATAGAGTTAGGGTTATTTTTTAAAAAATAAGTTATATTATCCTCCTTCTCTAATTTCACTTTTAGAAAACAACAACTTCCACATTTTCTGTTTCAAGACAAAACATGATTATGCTTACTCCTCTGACTTTGGGGCAACAGAACTTAGATAGAAAGCTCTAGATTAGTCTTTCAAACCATGGTGACTTCCATTCCAGTTCTTCTCTTCTTTCTTTTTACTACTGTTTACAGTACTGAAGACTTCAGGGATCCATACATAAATAAAAATTGTGTAGAGTTTGATGTATTATGACTTACCTACTTTTAGCTTCAATGTTTAATCTTCTACTAAAATTTACATCTTTCTAAAGTTTCTTTTACAAAGATAACTTTTCTTATGGATCCCTTATTTCTAAGATTTCTTCAGTCTTGTTCATTCTGTTTTTAATAATGGAAACAAACTGCAAAGGAAGATGTAATTAGAAAGAAAGTAGAAGATTGGTTTCTAGAGTTGGAAATTAGATACTACATTGTTGGGGGGAATAAATAAAATGGGTTGTTAATTGTAGATTTAGTATCCTGTTAAGCCGTAGTAAAATCTGCTCCAAACATCCAAAGAAGAGGAAAATGTCTTAGGCCAAGATACACTTGAAAATGTATATCTGGATTCACAGGGAAACAGAAAGTACTTAGAGATCTCTAAGTCCAACAGCCTAATTCTCAAGGGGTATGTAGGGAGGCTAAATGTGAAGCCAGGATGCAAACTCATTGATGTGTAACACACCTATGTATTCTAAACATAACTGAATACAGTGAGTAAAAACTGTGTTGGATAAGATAGCACAGCCAACTTAAAAGCACAGCATAGCTGACGACTCACCTTTGTAGTTGTTATCAAAGGTTTTCTTTTGCTCTTAATGTGGAAGTGAGCCAGCAGGATTGTTTGCCCATTACTTTCCTTTCTTCTAAAGGCTTTCATTGCTTACTGTTATCATTTATAGATATACCTTGACAAACCTGGCAGGAGAATTTCTTCTTGGCCCAGGATAAACACAAGAGAGCAATTGAATTCCCATTGTTCAGGACCAGTGAGTGTTTACTCAATTAAGTAGGCTGAATTTAATGCAGTAATAAAGGCCAAACTTGACAACATTTTTTGCATTTCATTGTGAACAACAACTTTTATTATTGATAAAATTTTGTTGTTATTATGCTAAATATTTTAGAGGGGAAGGCATTTTAGTAGCATTGATTTTAGAGACTTCTCACAAGGTTAATTTTCTCCTAGACTGTAGGATACTCGTTCTCTGTTCACTCTCTGGAGTGTAATTGCTTGACTTTTCTTCCTTAAAAATTCCACCATCCACTATGACTTGCTGCTCTGCTTTTGCTGAGCCCTGACATTGATACACATCTGTTCATGACTTATTCTTAGAGATGTCCCATTTCCCACTTGACCTCAATTCACGGTGTTCGCAGGAACCGTGTAATCACACTTGTGGCATATTTACCTAATACTATTGTTCAATGTTTATGTGGTGCTTTGTATGTAGTCAAAATATTGCTATAACCATCGATATGAGAAGTATTTTCGGTAATATTGGCCAAGTCAATAAAATTGGGAAGTAAAATGTGGAGGACTATTTATGAATTTAATGGTTATTTTTTGAAAGGGAATTGTGTTTCTCTTTATAATCCAGAAACATCAGCAAAGCGATGCTTATCTATAAATCTGAAAACTTGGATTGGGTAAGGCCACTTTCTTCTTGCCCTTTACTTAAGTAAAATTAAAGTCATTCAGTCTGCACTCAAGGGTCATTTCTCAGAGGGTAAGAAGTGAAACAAGGAATGCGCCTTCAAAATCTAATAAAGATTAAAGAAAACTTATTCCACTTATGACAATATGACCTAAAGATTGGGATGTCAGCAAATGTGGAGTGAAATGGCATAGCAGAATGTATTTATGTTGTGAAGCAAAAGGAAAACAACCACAAACTGTAAGTTAAAAATCGAGAAAATATGTTGGTGTGGTTGTAGCTGAGCACAGCACTGCATGGATTTTTAAAAATGTATGCATTTGTGATTCGTTATTTGGCATCAAGTGGACATAGCTAAGTTAAGAAGAGACACAGTTTAGCCTTAGATTTTAAATTTGTTAGTGTCTCCTCCATCCTAGTAAAATTGTTTCTATCATGCTGGGCCCAGAGTTGGCATTTAGAGAGTACATGAGCAGATAGAGGAATATGTTCTGGAATGCTAAGTCCTACATGAAGACTTAATAAGTTTTGGGTTTGGATTTTAATTGTGACTTGGAAGGAAATTTGATAAGCCTCTAGTTCATTAATTTGGTTTTAAAGATATTGATTTGGTAAGCAAACGTGGATGGCAACCAAACATTTATTTTCAAAAATAATTTTGTGCCAGGAATAATTTAGTCTATGTGCTAAGTGCTGGGGTCATAAACGTGACCCCTAGTAATTTACAGTCTTTTAATTGGAATAACAGTTGAACTAATAATTATTTTATAGAGTCTTAAGTCTTGTGATCGTTGCATATATAACATGGTTAAAACCACTTGAAGATGCCCAAGGTAATCTTCATAGAGGAAATACTGCTTGAAGGGAGTTTGTAGGATCAGTGGGAAAGCATGTGGAAAGGCATGGAGAGATTGTGCTCAGTTCTGTCTTGTTCACTGGTGTGAGGAGAGCTCAAGGGACAAAGAAGTACAAAGACACTGGAAAAGTGGGTCTTCTATACTATTCTGTAGTAAGACTTTGTTTTTGAGAGTGCGGCTGCCTACTGCAGCCCTTTTTTTGCCTACTGCAGGCCAGAGAAGAAACCTCTATTCTTAATTGTACGTTAAAAAAAAAAAAAAAAAAAAAAAGTGTGCTAAGAAAATTCTCATGGGCATAATGGTTCGTTTGCAAATGCATCTGATTATGCAAGAAGTTTTTGAGATACAAAATAAAGTAATTCTGAGTAGATGTCTCAAGGGGCAATTGGAGGAGATAATTCACCATCGTGTAAGGGACTGGAAATGTCCTTTACCTGTCTTTAGAAATTGGTTTTGAAGTCAATAAACTGATTTGGGTATAAGAGTAAGCTATTTGGAAAGTAGCGCACTAAGAACTTTCCTTGGTGTCGATGTTGAGAGGATAAATGAGACTGTTTAAGTGGGGTTATAGCGTTTTCTCTTGCTAGAGGTTAACAGAGAAGCAGAGATAACTGAATATAATAACCTTTGCTAATTAACAGCAGGATATTTGATGACAGTTCACATGGGGCCAAGAGAGATAAGGCTCTTGGCTTGTAATCTTTCTGACTTGGAAACATCCTCAATTATTGAAATCATGGGTGTAGGAGAAAGTCAGCAAAGGGTAGCAGAAGGTAATTATCAACAGACAGATGTCTGGATTCTTCACAATGACACAGTGATGAGAATGGGGTAGGGAGGGGAGGGAGTAAAGAGATGGGTGAAGACAGGTTATTGTTTCTATATGTTTAATAAGGAGGAGGAGGAACAGAAGAAGAAAAAGGAGGAGGAAAAGGAGGTAGGGGAGGAAGAAGAAAAAGAGGAAGTGGAGGAAGGAAAAAAAACTTATTAAGTCAAACTCTTAGGGATCTTTCCAGTAGGTTGTACCATTTCTCTGCTTACATCTTGAACCTACTGTCTAAGAGTTTGAGACTTGAAAGATATTTCTCCATAGATTATTGATATGGGATCCTAGATTCACAGATTCTCCCGAACTCTAGTGTTAACTCTGTTTTCTTGAGTGAGAATGCAGTACTGCTGTAGGCTGGGTGTAGGCAATCTTATTTCCCAAGTTGTTGTATGTAAATGAAAGGAAGTAGGAGAGTTGGCGAAAGCAACAATGTGAATGCAGGTATTTAATCCCTACGTATTTTGCAGAGACAAACATAAACCGGATAAGCCATGTATATATGAGGGGGGACCCCTCAAAAACCCAGTATTTCTTAAAAATGGTGTATTTATTCTTACATGTTTAAACTTCAGTCACCTTCAAAGTGACTCAGTTTGATGCCATACACCTATCAAGACACTATTCCACTGCTCAGAACTGTTTTCGAACTCATCAATTTTGATGCCTTTAGTGCTTCTGTCGTTTT